AAAAAGGGTTTACATTGGGCTGGGAATCTTAGCATCTATAATTATAACCTAAACCTCCAAGCCACTAAGTACACCTGGCACTCTAAGTATGATCTCGGATCCCGGAGCCTTGCACCCTTTGCAAGAACATGCCCCGGCCTTTACATATGGGCGTTTCCGAAAATGGGGGACCCTAACATAGTACTAAATAGTAGGATCCTTATTATAAGGACCCCAAAATAAGGTACCCCTAATGTCGGAAACGCTCATATAGTCTTGAGCGATGAGAAAGGTAGCACTATCGGTGTTTCGTGTAAGTTTGTTTATACACGCCTGCAGGCCAAAGAGTGGCAAGCGGCATTGCACCTCGTGGACGAGGCACATGCTTATGCCATTTTATGTCAAGTATGTGCAGCGAGGGCACAGCGCCTGTAGTGACCGTCACACTAGTCAGAGCAGCTGCATTGCTACTGTCACAACCTTCGAAACAAAGATGCTGATACCTGCAAACTGCAAAGAGAAGCCGCTGTCATTGGGTCAGCGGCAGTAGCAGTAGTCCTGCTGATGCCTGCAAAGAGAAGCCGCTGTCATTGGGGCAGCAGCATGCCATTATGAAATATTTAGTGTTCTAACCTCACCATAGTTATCATGACGGCCACTGCGACACTGGGAACGACGCCGTCCTTGACCTGGCCGACATCAAAAGCAGCATCGACAACTACCACAACCCCCACAAATCACAGCGACGAGGTGACGGCGACGACAAGCAGCGACTGCAACGAATATTCCTGCACGAATCACGATCAAGAAGGGCAGTTCGCCAATTCCGTTCTCCGCCGAAGAGCCTGTGGCCAGACTTGCGCTGTCACGGTCGTGACTTCCATGTTGCTAAAGGGCCAGGTACAGTGAGGGCGTTTCTGTGCTTTGTTTTACACGGTTCCTAGTGCAAGACCAGAGGCTTGACAGCCGTGACTACAGCATTACCAACACTGGGCGTAAAGGGTACTTAATAAAGCAGTCTTGCTTCGGAACAAGCAGCAGCAATGCAAAAGTAGTATAACAAGGAATATATCAAGATACTCGATGGTGATGATAAGCTCGCAGCCACAGAAAGCAGCAGAAATTGGTGAGCAAGTTGTCAAGTAGAGCCTGTCATACGAAAGTATGTTGGCCAAATTAACTTAATGGCGAACATGCATTCCCGGATCCTTATAACATGCATGGTAAATCTCAAACGATACGTAAGAGGACAAGCTAGACGAGACAGCCAGAGGATATTTCTGACACACATCACATGCACAAATCACATTTGTACTGGGTTTATATCTTCGACATCTTGCATCTATCTGCTTTTGGATATCTCTGTTAATGTGGTTAGAGATATGTCCTACTTGTACCAGATTATTTGCTTCTCAAAGCGGCGCCAGGCAGAGCTGAATGGAAGTGAGCCTTCTGCCTGGCCCCCGGCCAATACAGGAGGGCTCTTTTGAGTTTCACGGCACAAAACTCGAACAGGGCTTATCGTAGAGCTGTAGCAAAGAACCTGTGCCTTGTGGCAATACAGGGCTGCGCACGGGGTTGTAGGGCGTAGGGTTTTGTAGGGCGGCTGTCGGACTATATAGCGTTTTTTATACCGGGGGTCCAACGGGACATATTGGGGATAGGCTCGAGAGCACGTTTCTGGATAAATAACTAGGGGGCTTGTGAGGTGTAGTCGTGCTTAAGGGTGCTATGGGTGGCTGGCAAAGAGATCGGTTTTCCTGCAGTCTGTGGTGTATGAATAGCAAATGTAGGCGTAATATACTCTTTACCTCAGATACACTGCGCTGCCTGTATTGTTTCGTGCCTAGTTTTCTAAGTTTTGAGCCGGATGGGGGTGTATGGATTCAGGATTAGAAATTCGGGGGTATTTAATGCTCACGTGCAGAGTCTCAAGTGTATGGTCTGTAGCATCTTTTTGAGTCGACGGTGAAGGGACCAGGGTGTTGGGGCTTATGGCTTTAGGGGTTTGGGGTTCGATAAGGGTCCTAGCCCCTTTCGCAGCTGCTGCCCTACATGATGTTTCGTGATACATGTATGAGAAAAGAGCTTTGTCTTCTACTACAGATGATCTGCCAGAGAAGCGGCGCTTTCGAGCAGACATTTTGGATTTGGCAATCAATGCAGATATTTCTGGACAGCGGGCAGCAAGGCTCTTGCAGGATGCAAGTCTGGCCGGGACAGAAAACATTGATGACTTGGCAATTGTACCTGTTGGCAAAAAATTCTGCCAGTGCCTGCTTTGAGACCTTCGACGGATGCAACAGAGCTCATGACCTTCAGCGTGCTTCTTCCCCATGAGATTTTGAGTCCTGTGCTGAAGGTTAACAAGATGGAACAGCTGATGACAAATCAGCAAGCGGCATTGGCTCACCGACAAGACTTGCAGGATGGTTTGGCAAGAGCTGCTCAACTTCTTGATGTGGACCCGGCCAAGACTGTCATTGCCGGCATTTGGGTAGATGCTGTACCTGAATTCGGACCGCTCGCAGTCATTGGAAACTGTGTCATTGAGCCTTGTCGGCGAGGGTCAGCTCAGGTTTCCAATCACCGCTTTCCCGAAGGCATTTGTCAAATCGACGGCGACTTACGAAGCCTTCCATCTTGAGCAATTTAAGTGGTTTAGGGTGGGGTCATCGTTTTGAGCGTGATCCTACATCGAGCGGTGCTTTTTTTTAAGAGGAGGGTTCTGTCCTTCAAAGGCGCTTAGGGATCTGGATTGAAATAACGGTGTGCGGCATCTTGGCCGGTTCTCGCTCCCACGATCTGTTTGGGTTCGCGGTTTAGGGTCGGTGGCGAATCGTCAGGATCTATTTGACTTAGGGTACTTAGACATGATTTTTAATTTTTGGTTATTATAACCAAGAGCTATTTTTTAATTTTTGCTAGGGTTCTGAGTTCAGTATAGTTGACCGTTGTGTGATTTAGATTACTTCAGCAGGCAAAGAGAACTTACGCCAAGATCGGCCGAAGCCTAAACTCCGACGTGCTGCTGCCGGCGGAGACTCCTAAACCCGAAACCCTCAACTGAACAGAACGGGTTTTAGGGTTTAGGGCTAAGGGGTTTAGGGTATCGGGGTTTAGGGTTAGGATGTAAAAGGTTTACGGGAACCCTAAACCCTAAACCAAACCTAAACTCTAGACTCTGAGTCAAGCAGGTTCTACACCACATCCACGAGTTTCAAGCCCCCCCCCCTAGCCTCCACGGATTTTGGAGTCTTGCATTCTGTAGTCAATATAGAATACTATCGTGGGGGTCCGAATTATCAGCATTGTATAATTTACCCCCACGTCCCACACTAATTATTAAGCACCCTATATTATGCGTTTCAAATATGAAGTCAGCATGATCATGCTGTTGTCGGGTCTGGGCATCAGGAGGCCTGCTGTTTCATTCCCCTTGTTCAGCCTCTTTAGTCCAAACCGAGCACTGAACTCGTGAACCACAAGTTCGAAGGAAACTTCCGAAAGCCAAAGGTCATACTGAACAATGCGGTCCTTGCAGCCTGCGCACGGGACACAGCTCAGGGTTGCGACTGATATATCCGGGTGCAAAGCTGTAAGCTGCTTTCAGGCGTTGCATCGAGTTTGCCCAGAAAACGGTTTAGGGTTTAGGGCCCGTGTCAACTGATGTTTTTTTTGTGTGGCTGGTTCGGTGCTGGCTTGACATTCGGCTTTCGTGCTAATCAGCCTCTCGATTGCGTGCTGCTGGGGGAGGCAGTACGGCCAGAGAGGCTGATGTCAGCTAAGTTTTCGGATTCAGTGTAGGGGTTTGGGGGTTTAGTGATTATGAATTGCGATGTACGGTTCACTTCAGTTCTGTAAGGAGTCCCAGTGGGTCCGTACACCCCTCAAATCCTCAGCTAAGCAATAATTATACTAGAAACTACCGACCAATCCTTCCCATGATCTGCGATATGTTCCTTGGTTCAGAAGCTTATCTAACTCAACTCGGAAGCTTTTTCGCCCACACAAGACAACCCTAAACCCTAAACCGAGACATTTTTGCAAATTTACACAATTTCTCCAACCACGACAGAGGCGAGCGCTGCGTTGGCTTCCTTGCATCGGATCCTGACATGAACCTACCCATAGGCCCCATAGTAGCTCCTTTTTGGGCTTACCTTATAGAATTCGAAATATGAACCCCAAAAAGGAACTACTATGGGGCCGATGGGTAGAAGGCAAACTCCAAACTTCAAACCTGAAGCCCATCATCGTTAGGGTTTAGGGCTGCTTCGGGTACCAAGTCCTATGAGATCCGCTAACCCTCAACTTCACACCCGGAGCCCACAGGCGTAAGGGTTCTTGGTAAAGTCTAACAGCTCCGAAGTCGGGTTGAAGACGGTTGATGCAAGGCGATGGCATCTGCTTCCTGGATGGCGGCTACCACATTTATTGCGAGCTGCTTAGACGTGGAAAAGCTCTCTGCACAACTTAGTTGACAATCTCATGAGCAGGAAAGTACATTGACATCATCTAGCCACTTATGGAAACTTCAGCTACTTGAGTGCTCAAAGTGGGTACGCCAGAATGGCCCAGACGTTTGTTTGCGTATGTAAGGTCAGTGCTTGTGCTGAAGGCGTGCGAAATTTCTGGGTGTGGAAGGATAAGCCAGCTGTCCACTGCACATCCTCACACGGGAGTTTCCGAAAATGGGGGACCCTAGTAACGTACCCCCAAAAATTAGGATCCTTGTTATAAAGACCCCAAAATACGGTACCCTCATGTTCGGAAACCCCCACATCAGTCCTGAATCATGCGAGCCTGGCTAGGGCCCTCCTCGAATCAACCCTAAACCCCGTTCCGAGCCCCAATCGCAGATAAATTGATCGGTGAGATTTTCGGTCCATGGGTCACAGACAAAGACCCAATCTAGACCTGTCAAGCAGCATTTTCAAGAAACCCAGATCCAAACTTGTCTGCCTTGCTAGGCATGGCCAAACAAAGCAAATCACCCAGTTCGGATTGGTTCTACAGCCATGGAAGAACGGAGCTCGTTGCAGAGCCCGTTGCTGTTCGGCGAAGGTAAGGCCCAAAGCTTTCGGTGGCGCGGTGGTTTCGATTGGCGATTCGGCTTCTGTGTGAAAGCCATGTTTGTAGGCTGGTTGTCGACATGGACTATCTGTGTTCTAGCTGGCAACATGGATGCTATCGCCCACCCATCAGAAGAACAAAAGCAGTGGCTGGATCATCTCGGCCCACGCGGTGCAGCTACGGCCAGTTTGCTCATCTTCCCCATCCTCATCGCAGGTCTGTGCATCCCCTATCTGTGGAAATTCCAGGGGTCATGGCTGCACTGTGCCAGCCTCATTGGCTCCCATCAACTCCTGACGGCGGGCATCCTCAGCATCCCCGAAGCCTCATACACTGAAGAGCATCTGCAAGATGACATAGACGGAGTTTGGCGGTTGCACAAGTTCCAAGCCATCGTGTCCTGGGTGAAGCTATGGCAGCTGGGACGGAAGAGAGCCGCCATCTGGTGTTTTCTGTTTTGGAATGAGTGGAACGTGAATCTGCACACAGAAGATGGGGCGCGCTGGCTGTGGCTGGTGGTGACCACACTGTTCCAAGCAACAGCTCTCTCATCGCTAGCGAAAGATGCGGCAGAGCTCGCTGCAAGCCGGGAGGAGAAAGATCCCGAATTCGCCAAGCTGCTAAAGAAGCAGAGCTTCTTCTTGCAGCTAGGCAGTGTGATGACGGTGGTTGAGGCAGCCCACATGCCACTCACGGAGACCTGGATACTGCCCACGATAGGTCTTGGCTGGTACGCCGCCGTAGACCTGGTCTTCAATCAAGTCATGATCCTTGTTGCTTGGTTGAACTTTACTGTCGCTTGATAGCTTTTGTTACTTTTAGGGCTAGCCTTTTTGATCTTAGGGATATGAAAAGTGTTTTTCGCAAGGTAGTAAAGAGCAGCCCAGGTTATAGGGGGAGTCATCGGCCCCGAGGAAGATGTGGTCGCTTTGGGAGAGTTGTCATGGATGATGGGTTCCAGAGGCCACAGAGTCGCCTTCCCCGGAAGGGTCAATCTGTCTGCCACGGACTGCATTGTCAGCTTTCCTGGCAAATATGCCATGGAGCCTTGCTTGCAATTGGAATTCTATTCGCCAGGCTACTGCAGAAGCGGAGAGTTAGGGAATCATGTTAGTTTGATGTCGGAACGGTTGTGGCAAGGTCTGTATGATATGCGGCAAGGGCATAGGCTGCGGCATAGGCTTGGAATGGTCCACCACCAACTGGCTTTGTTTTCAGTAATTACTGCGCACAAGCATCAGATGGAGTTGTGCCACTAAGGAATGGGATGATGCTGTGCGCAAGGTGGGACGTAGGCTGTTAGGACTTGTTGGGAGTTCCAGAAGTTTAGCGTGCTTTCGGGTTTTCAGAGTTTTGATATGAGGTTCCACTAGCAGTGGTGGACAGCATTAACTGCAGCGACTCTCCAACAGTTAGAAAACAAATCGGACCGCGACAATCACAAAATGGCACTCGAGGACCTAGCCCTTAAAACCTAACCCCATAGAGAACCTGCACAGGCACCCTTTAAGGAGGCAGTTATGGGACTATAATGACTATACTTATTAAGTGTTAGGGCAGCTGCTCTTCCCCACCTGGGTCTGAATTCTGGGTCCAGGGGCTTCTTCCTGCTCATATTATAATATGGTATCATATATAGTGAAAAAATAATCACAAAGTATGGTATTATAATATAGTATCATATAGTGAAAAAATCACAAAGTACGGTACAGGTCGAGATGCATGAAGATTCCTGCAGTTTGGCATGCGTTTTCCTCACCAATACATCCTCGGGTCTTGGGGTCCATGCAGATGTTCCCGGCGAACCTGTGGGCCAATGCTGGTGTCAGGCTCTTTATGGCAAGTTGCCACCTCAGGCGTACTTGGAAGTAGTTGAAGATGCTGGCAAGATGACCCAGCAACAACTGGACTTCAAGAGACAAGATGCCGAAGCGATGGGCCAGGTGCTCGTTGTTCGCCAAGGTGAAGCGGACAGCGTTTGGCAGCAGATGAAGGAAGAAGCCTTAACAGAAGCAGCAGAGAAGTGCAAGGAGAATCAAGGCCGTGCTCCTTGGGGATGTCAATGGTTCGCTAAGTGGAAGGAAAATGTGGACAAAGCCGTCGAGCGCATGCAAAAACTCCACGTTTTCTTTTTTGAAAGCAAGGTAGGTTGCGGCAAGCTGGCATGGGAGGACAGGGCGGGAGCCACAAGAGCTTGCAGTTAGCTTCGGGGATGCGTTGCTGTGGACTCTTCTCTCCGCAGTGTTGTTCGACTACAGCTATCAGGTTCAGGTACATTTATGTTATAAGTCCTTTGGAGCGTGAGCATGTCACTCTGCGAGGATCTGTCACACCCAGCAGCTCTGTCAGAGGCCAAAAGAGACAATGGGCTGGGAAATTCCCAACGGGCTGAGGTGGCCTATCTGGATCGCTGTCACTGGGCTGTGCTTTGGGATTATTTTTTAGTTTCCCTTATTTCCTTATAAAGGCAACCTATTCATAAATAATTTTCAAAGGGTTTAAAGCACAACCCAGGTCATGTCACCTACGAGGAGCATGATGTGAGGGAATTCTACGCATTTATGTCTCGACGCATGAAGAAAAGATGGTTCCGCAGATCGGGGTTACAAGTAAAAGGACCCGGATCAGAAATTAAGCTTACTGGTACCACGAATCGTATCAGCTCATCGCTGCAATTACGGCGATTAAACCCTGCATGTCGTTTGCAGTTGCAAATTATCGGCAGATAGGGATTTCAAGATTATGACCCAGGCCTTGCACAACGCCTAGCAGGAGTTGCGCTCTCGCTGACCTCTGAACACTTGAATCAAGCCGCGGTTGAGCGTTTGGGGAGTTTAGGGTTCAAGGTCGGAGCCCTCCTGGGGGATTCAAGTTTCAGAAGATACGGGTCCCTAGTACAAGCTTGAACGTGGTTAAAGCGAAACCCACACTGCTTGGAATCTTATAGCATCTATATACCTTGTTTTAAAGGGTTATACAGACCCACAGAAGACCCAATGGTTTTCAGGATCAAGAGGGCGGGGGTCCACTTGCCACTTGCTAATTCACGAGGTTGCTGTTCCTCAAATCCCGCATGAAAACCATATTATCCATAACCCCCGAAATGACGACGCATGTGACTGGGTTCTTACAGAAGCCGCATACATCCCGAATATAGGACCCTTGGCGTTATAATATACCCCAAATAATTTGGGTCAAAGGAATCCGTAAACTGGACTTTGGAGTACCATACTTTAGTATTTTTTCTCAAAGGAACCATTATGAAATACAAGGCTATACTGTTTTCTCCCTGGTCACTTAAAAGCCCAGTAAATGAAACCCTAGAGCAAACCTGTAGAGCTTCGCTAGAGCCCTGGAAAGCACCGCATATCAGATCCCAGCTTATTTCTGCAGGTTCGAATGATTGGGCAGGCCTGCAAGCAGGAGCCTGAGAAGCCGAGGTTTAGGGGTTCGAGAGTTCATGCAATTTAGGGCTTTAGGATGGTGCAGGGGCTTTGGGGTCTTCGGTGGTCCAAATATACTCCCAAAAGTTAGCATGTAGTTCTGCAGGATACTGGACAGGCACTTATATACGACTTAGGTACATGGGTCCTGGGAGAATCCGGGCTGTTGGAAGCCTCCGCTGGGCCTGTAAACCTGTGAGATCCCAGAGCCCAAAGATTGCAGAAGATGAGCCCCCCGGATTTATTTCAGGTTGAAGTAAACTTTTTCCTCTTAGAACCTATACCAATACCATCCTATACCCTACCACACACCCTAGACTCTAGACTCAGACCTCAAACTCCAAGTGGAACGACTCTTGCAGCTCAGGCTGGATGCAGCCAGCTACGGCTCATTGGCTGCTGCTAGTGCCCTTGCCGTCCCGTTCCCGTCGCACCGTCACGGGGAAGTCCCGATTTCGAGTTTGGAGTTTATAGGACCTGTAGTCTCCATTGTAGTTCTTTTCTTGGTTTACCAAATGTATAGTATAGGATCGGAACCATAAACCTGGTTTACCACAAAAGGAACTACAATGGAGACTATGGGGAGCTTGGGATTGGGAGTTGAGGGCTCCGTTCGGAAACGTCTCGACAAGTCTCGCTGGAACACCGCTCGAGGTTTTTGGTTTAAGACGTCGACGGTCCCGATGACAGTCTCAACAGAACTCTCACTTCGAAAGCCGCAGTTTAGGGTTTGAACCTCAAAGACCTATCAAGTTTGCCCCCCCCCAAGCCTCAATAGAATTCGCATTGTATAAAACTCTACGAAGATTTTGGGGTATACAGGCCCTGCAAGCCTCTTACGAGTATGGGTACTACTTGGAGGGTCGGGGGACTTGGTAGGTAGTAAGTAGGCTTATAGGTACCCCAAAAGGGACCCTAATTGGGCTTATGGTACTTATAAGTCCCTAAAATCAGGAGTTACTAAGTCCCCCGACCCTCCAAGTATCCTTTGCCCACGCCCGAAAGCCATAGTCTTGATCTTCGAGCTTCCCTCATGACCCTGATCCCGAAACCCCCGCAAACCTTGCCCTGAAACTTAAAACTTAAGCCCTAAGCCCTTGTCCCTGGTCCTTGTATGTTAGAGGATTTTGATGTGTTCTGGAGACAGTACAGATCTCTTTAGACCTTTTGATCCGTCATACTTACCTCGTGTAGTTGATCCACAAGTGCTTCGCTTTTGGATTGTCCCAAGACTGCCTGCATAAGCCCTAAGCACTAAAACTTAAACCAAAAAACCTAAAAACCAAGCCCTAATCCCTTAAACCCCCAACACTAATCCCGGAAAAGGTACTACAAGCTCCGCTTGGCAACAAGCATTTGGGCTTCGACGCCTGCTGAGGCTCCGTTCCCGAAGGGTTTAGGGCAACTTTTAGGGTCCAGGGTGATTCAGGGTCTAGGGTCACTTTTAGGGTTTAGGGTTATTTAGGGTCTGGGGTTTAGGGTACCTTTAGGGTTTAGGGTAACGGATCTACAGAGCCTGGGGCCTTCAGCTGTAGGGTTTGGGACAACTTCGCTTGTGGAATGCTTGGGGTTTAGTGCTCGACCCTTTGTGCGAACTGCAAGCCTGGGTTGTGGATGGAAGATGAATCCAAACGGGGCGGCTTTGTGCCAAGCCCACTTTCATGGTCAAAGACGATGGTGCCAGGGGGACAAAGAACACATTAGTGAGCATTGGATCCTGACTTCAAGCATGTAAAGCCAGAGTTGAGGGTTGAAGCGCTCCGCACGCAAAGAATCACCAAAATCAAGCAGCACAAGGAGCCTACCCATAGGCCCCATAGTAGTTCTTCTTTGGGACTACCTTATAGGATTCTACATATGAACTCCAAAAAGGAACTAGTATGGGCCCTTTGGGAAAACCCTAAACCCTGAACCTAACCCAGACTGTCGGTTCGGAGCTTGTTTTCCTGCGAAACCCTGGTCCTCCAAGCACCGCCAAAACCCAAAAGTTTTACCCTTGCCCGTGATTGCGAGAGGCCATGATAGTCCTGAAAATACAGGTGCATTTCGAAGAGATGCTCCTAACTTTTCCCTTGGTACGAGTCCGGTATTTCAGCGAGAAAGTTGTGTGAAGCTGACCCTGCTGACCCTAAACCCCTGAATTGCCCCTGAACCCCTGAACCCCTAAACCCCTAAACTCCTAACCCCTAAAAGCCTGCACCCTAAGCCCCTCAACCCTAATCCGTAAACCCTTCAACCCTAAACCCCTAACCCCTAAATCCCTAAACCCCTAACCCCTCAACCCTAATCCGCAAACCCCTCAACCCTAAACCCCTAAACCCTCTAAACCCTCAACCGTAAACCCTAAGCTGAGGCACCTGGGCATTCAGGTGGATCTACTCCACTCGAAGTGCGCCGCTCTTGCAGCAGGGCGCAGAAGGCCGGGTGGGAGAGCCAGGGAGCCGGAGCCCGAGTCGCACCTGAAGGGTATAGGGTTTATAGGGTTTGGGGTTCAGGGGTTTAGGGTTTAGGAGTTTAGGATTTATAGGGTTTAGGGTTTGGGGTTTAGGGTTTAGGGTTCAGGGTCTGGAGTTTAGGGTTTATTGTTTAGGGTTCAGGGGTTTAGGTGTTTAGGTATTTAACGGTTCCTTACTACGGAAGCCGACAAAAGCTTCAGCCGAAGGTCAACCCGAAGGGTCCGTGGACCCAAGTATTTAGCACTTGGAGGTTCATGGGTAGTTATAATTGGGGCTATAAGTAAGGTAACTCTATACTTATAAAGCCATATTGGGGGACATATAGCCCCACTTATAACTACCCATGAACCTCCAAGTATCTACTTTGGCCGTAAAGTACCTATTGAGAGACGACTTAAGGCCCAAGTATATACTACTTGGTTACATGGACCCTTCCGGTAACATAGGGCGCCTTTTTGATTACCTGTACTATTTTTGGGGGGCTCCTTATTATAAGTATAGTAGAACGGGCCCCAAAACCCTATTCTAATTATTAAGGCCCCTATATTGGGGTTCAGAGTGTGGGGAGCACCTGCTGTGAAGACCCAAAGGGATTGTCATTGGCCCTATGTGGGGGCTTTAGGATTTAGGGCTTGGGTGTTGTGTTAGGGCTTTCGGGGTTTAGGGCTTGGGGTTTTGGGGTTCGTGTCAGTTCTTCTTGCGATCATTTTGTTGAGCGTCTGTATGAATGCATGAAGGCTTTAGGGTCTGGACAACTGCTTACACACCGGTGGGCAACGGAATCTCCTTGCAAGGAAGTCTCCTCAGAGCTGGACAAGGTATGCACAACAAACGCAAAGTGACGATAACTACTATAACCCCAAACTTTGAATCCGACATCCCCGACCCTCGGCCCTAAACCTAAGTCCTGAGTCATACCTCTTACAACCTGAACTGTGACACTGCTGATGGACAAAATCCTGCATTACCCTTTATAAGGAGTATACCATAGTTCCCATAGTTTAGAGTCCTTAGGGTCATGCAGGATTTTGTCCATCAGCAGTATCGGGAGGTTGTGGGAGGCGGCTGTCACTCAAGACGACAGGTTCCCGCCCCAGGTGCTGTGCTTGCGCTTACAGTTCGACAAGAGCTTTGGGCTTGAGGGTGTAGGTTTAGGGTTTTGGATTCGGGACTATAGTATAGTCTATCTATCGCCTAAAGTTTTATGTGGATTACGGGGTGTTTGTCTTAAGGTTTCAGGGCTTCGTGTTTTTAGGTATTGAAACTCAGGCTTTGTTCCTGTTCACGAACATTTACAGGAACGCTTCTTGCATAAGCAGCCCTGTAAAGCTGTAAAGCTCTGCACCTCGAAGTTTGTGTTTAAAGGGCGTGAACTCATAGGTGTTCTACAATGAAGTATCCGACCTAGCCTCAGTGTTCGAACTTAATCTGACATTCAAAATGGCAATATTCTAATATAACACATACAAAATAGTAATAGTCATAGTTTAAAATGTAACATACACGAGCATGCATACTAGAATGGAGTACAAAGAACAGGCTAGACTATTGTTGTATGTATGTAGGTATGTATGTATGTATGTATGTATGAATGTATATATATATATATATATATATATATATACATACATATACATACATATACATACATATACATACATATACGTACATATACATACATATACATACATATACATACATATACATATGATGCTGGGCTGCTGCACCACCCCCTCCCCACCCGCCCCATGATATCCCCCGTTCCCGCCTTTGCCTGTCACGTGGGTTGTCTTTTTGTTTGGCCTTGTTGCTTTCACCGTCTTCCGGGGG